GCATATGTTGTTGTTAATTGCGAAGTTGTGTCCGACCCGTCGCGACCCCATGGACAATGTTCCTCCAGGTCTTCCTGTCCTCTACCATCTTCTGGAGTCCATTTAAATTCACACCTACTGCTTCAGTGACTCCATCCAGCCATCTCATTCTCAGTCATCCACTTCTTCTATTGCCCTCAATCTTTCCCAGCATTAGGCTCTTCTCCAGTGAGTCCTTCCTTCTCATTAGGTGGCCAAAGTATTTGAGTTTCAACTTTAGGATCTGGCCTTCTAAAGAGCAGTCAGGGTTGATCTCTTCTAGGACTGACCGGTTTGAACACCTTGCAGTCCAAGGGACTCGCAGGAGTCTTCTCCAGCACCATAGTTCAAAGGCCTCAATTCTTTTGTGCTCAGCCTTTCTTATGGTCCAACTTTCACAGCCACACATTGCAACTGGGAAAACCATGGCCTGGACTATACGCACTTTTGTTGGCAGGGTGATGTCTCTGCTTTTTAGAATGCTGCCTAGATTTGCCATAGCTTTCCTCCCCAGGAGCAAGCGTCTTTTAATTTCTTTGCTGCAGTCCCCATCTGAGGTGATCTTGGAGCCCAGAAAAATAAAATCTGTCACTACCTCCATTTCTTCCCCATCTATTTGCCAGGAATTGAGAAGGCCGGATGCCATGATTTTGGTTTTCTTAATGTTGAGTTTCAAGCCAAATTTTGCACTCTCCTTCTTCACCCGCATCAAGAGGCTCTTTAGTTCCTCTTCACTTTCTGCCATTAGAGTGGTATCATCTGCATATCTTAGGTTGTTGATATTTCTCCTGGCAATCTTAATTCCAACTTTTGATTCATCTAGCCCTGCCTTTCTCATGATGTGCTCTGCATATAAGTTAAATAGGCAGGGTGACAGAATACAGCCTTGCCGGACTCCTTTCCCAATTTTGAACCAATCAGTGGTTCCGTGTCCAGTTCTCACTGTTGCTTCTTGACCCACATATAGGTTTCTCAAGAGACAAATAAGATGGTCTGGTACTCCCATCTCTTTAAGAATTTGCCACAATTTGTTGTGATCCACACAATCAAAGGCTTTAGCATAGTCAATGAAGCAGAAGTAGATGTTTTTCTGGAACTCCCTAGCTTTCTCCATGATCCAGTGTATGTTGGCAATTTGATCTCTAGTTCCTCTGCTCTTCGAAATCCTGCCTGCACTTCTGGTAGTTCTCGATCCACATACTGCTGGAGTCTAGCTTGTAGGATTTTAGGCATAATTTTACTAGCATGTGAAATGAGTGCAATGGTGGGATAGTTTGAACATTCTTTGGCATTGCCTTTATTTGGAATTGGAATTTAAACTGACCTTTTCCAATCCTGTGGCCACTGTTGAGTTTTCCAAATTTGCTGGCAAATTGAGTGTAGCACTTTTACTGCATCGTCTTTTAAGATTTTGAATAGCTCAGCTGGAATACTGTCACCTCCACTAGCTTTGTTGTTGCTCAGATTTTCTAAGGCCCATTTCACTTCACATTCTAGGATGTCTGGTTCGAGGTCAGTGACCATCTCATTGTGGTTTTCTGGGATGTTAAGCTCATTCTTGTATAGTTCTTCTGTGTAGTTTTGCCATCTCTTCTTAATCTCTTCTGCCTCTGTTAGGTCTCTGCCATTTTGGTCCTTTATCATGCCCATCTTTGCATGAAACGTTCCCTTCATATTTCCAATTTTCTTGAAGAGATCTCTGGTCCTCCCTATTCTGTTGTTTTCTTCTATTTCTTTGCACTGTTCATTTAAGAAGGTATTCTTATCTCTTCTAGCTATTCTCTGGAATTCTGTATTCAATTGGATGTATCTTTCTCTTTCTCCTTTGCCTTTCGCTTCCCTTCTTTCCTCAGCTATTTGCAAAGCTTCCTCAGACAGCCATTTTGCTTTCTTGCATTTCTTTTTCTTTGGGATGGTTTTAGTTGCTACCTCTTGTACAATGTTGCGAACTTCCATCCATAGTTCTTCAGGCACTCTGTCTATCAGATCCATTTCCTTAAATCTATTTGTCACCTCTACTGTATATTCATCAGGAATATGATTTAGTTCATACCTGAGTGGCCGAGTGCTTTTCCCTACTTTTTTCAATTTAAGCCTAAATTTTGCAACGAGAAGCTCATGATCTGAGCCACAGTCAGCTCCTGGTCTTGTTTTTACTGACTGTATAGAGCTTCTCCATCTTTGGCTGCAGAGCACATAGTCAATCTGATTTCTATATTGACCGTCTGGTGATGTCCATGTGTAGAGTCGTCTCTTGGGTTGTTGGAAAAGAGTGTTTGTTATGACCATCGTATTCTCTGACAAAATTCTATTAGCCTGTGCCCTGCTTCATTTTGTACTCCAAGGCCAAACTTGCCTGTTATTCCGGTTATCTTTTGGCTTCCTACCTTAGCATTCCAATCCCCCATGATGATAAGGACATCATTTTTTGGTGTTAATTCTATAAGGTGCTGTAGGGCTTCATAGAACCGGTCAATTTCATCCTCTTCAGCACCAGTGGTTGGGGCATAGATTTGGACTACTGTGATATTGAATGATTTGCCTTGGATTCGAATCGAAATGCATATAAATTTGTTTAATAAATAAACTTCTTTTGTAGAAATTTCTCCCTGAAGCCCTAATGTGATCAGTTGGGGATTTAGGGTTTTTTTTGGTTATGTGAACTTAGCTTCACATAATAAATAATAGTTTGTAGCTTGCCTGCCAAATAAGAATTCAGCTAATTACATGTTATTGAGCAAACCATTATTTAAAATAATGATTTAGCACTAAATGTGAATCCTGTTACAATGGAAAATGTTAGTTCATTTGTTTCTTTTTTCCTTGCAAGATCCTTACTTCGAAAATGCTGCAAATTTAACCAGCAAGGTCAAAATTTTAAACCCTTTGCTTCATTTGGGCCCAGAATTAATCAACTTTTTTTTCTGAGTGAGGGGTTCATCACACAGCATGTAGCAATGCAGATCCTACCTAGTCTATAGCTGTCAGGATCAGCTAAGGTGAGTGTGGAACACCTGTGGCGCAGGATTCATGGTGGCTCTGAAATGAGGCTGGCAGATTGTCTTCTTGCCTGTCCTTCAAAAGAGCCATCACAATCCAGACTAGGTAGTGACCTTCTGAACAGGAAAGGCTAGAAAATATTTCCAGCAGAATTAGACCTCCTCTGAACAATCAGGGTTCCCCCCCCCCAGTCAAATACATGTCAGAGCACATCCTTGGCTTTTATCCCATTATGGCATTGGCCAAGTTCATGTTCTGCCCTAAAACAGTTTACCTAATTATGGTTTATTGACCAACACCATTTGGCTCAGTTCACTTGATATTAAGCATGACTGGTGCCTTGCATTGGCTGGCTTTACAAAGCTGAACAAACTCTGAAGATGGTTGTAACCGTTTTTATTTTGGCTGCCAATTTGTATACTTTGTGATATTATTTTATTGTTTATTGTTTTTTATTATTCAATGTTTTGAACTGTTGTTTGCCACCCAGACTCTCAAAATTGATGTGGGTGAGCATATAAATTGAAATAAATAACCAAATAAATAAATTTAGATTTTTGTGTGATTCCAGCCATTATAACAAAGCAATTCTATGGATATTACTTACTATTACTAGCTATCCCAAACCTGGCTAATTCCATACTGTGAGAAACCAATTTTCTTGTTCCTAAAGACAGAATTCCAAAGCACAATTACTAATGCTCATAAAATATTTTTTGTGAAGGAAAAATGGAAAATTATTACGGAGTACAGATTTCCTGAATCTGATGATAGATTAGATCTTATCTCCCATCATTCCCGATCAGGCAATTGGCTACACTCATTATGAATTCTGAAGTTGAAATTTATAACATTGGAGGGTATCAGATTTGGGAGGACCAGTTTAGTGTTAAATTATTGCTAAATTCTCACACTAAGTCACAGCAAACAAACAATATTATAGCTAATGAAATAGACAAATACAATCAATGCATTCCTGAATATGGTTAGCTTTTTTTAGTTTTTGAACAATTACCACAAAGTTCTTATTGTATTGCTGAGAGCAACTAATTATAGCTGTCCAAATGTAAATTTATAATAAAAGAATTAATCCAGAGAGGATGCAAGAAATCAGGTCCTGAATGCTGTGAGTGACATTGGGGATCAAAATTTGTTATTTTGTTTGGTTATTTTTTTTTTCATTCAGTTAGTAGTTAGTTACGTATGTCTGACTTCAGCTAGATAGAAATACCTAGCTGACCAGGAGCAAACCATCAAGAAACAATTCCAATTTTAAAAATGCTGCTGTCAGCATTAATGATTCAACTAGATTTTAATTAAACTATTTTCTATATAAACCATGAACATAGCTTTTGAACCAAGTATATCTCTATTTTAACTTGAAATTCTTCCTGTCTACACAAACTGGAGCTTAATAACATAGAAAGTAATTTCTTAAATGAAATTAGTCAGTAAAACTCATAACATTATTTTTTTTAAAATGTTTAAATGTAATTAATAGACAATTTAAATTCCCAGCAAAATAAATGGCTATTTTTGATTGAAACAGACAAACATAGAAACAAAGGAGATCTTACTGTTGTTTAAATGAAGGTACAATGTGGTTTGGATAGTGTTTGTGCTTAAAGTTGTTGTATGGATGACATCATTTTGTGTATAGAGTAGGGGATGAGTATATTCTGAATCAGGGAACATGAGTTTATGGGGGAGTATAACAGTGCCATTGAACTCGGCACATGATGTGCCCAGTTTTGTATGCACTATAGACAACAGTTGCTTCGGTGGTGACATCTACAAGGCCTGAAGGGCAAAGGCCACAGCATCTATTCAGTTTGGGAAAACATGCCCATGCGCCTAAGCTGAAGGAATAGTAGAGACTCTAAGTGACATTTTTCTCTCTGCTGAGCTCATCTTATGTGTTACAGCAAGGACTGGTAAGTGTGTGAAACAGAGAGACAAAGAGACTTTTTGTTATCCTTTGATCTCATGGTAGCCTTTATTAATCTACTGCAGAAAGCTTCAGACTGGTTATCGCAATATACCAGCTCAGGCAGAAATGAGTGAGCTACTCATGATTTATTCAGTTCTATCAGAGTTCAATTTTGCCACATGTTCTTCGTTGGAATAAATAAGTATATTGGCCAAACTAAAAAGAAAACAAGCTAGAGTCCTTGGGAAATATTCATTCAGAATTGTGATTCTCTATTTATGTTTTATTGACCCTAACTAAAAGCTGCCATGTCTTAGGACCAAAAGCCTATTTTCAGGGGGGGGAAAAGTGGATTACTCTTTAAAATGGTATAACTCTTTGTTGCTTTAGCTGAAACTTACTAACATGACAATTCCTATTAATGAGGCTATGGCCACCTTTGTAGCCCCATACAAAGTCTGACTGGGAACTTTTTTTATTTAAAAAAATGCTCTCTCCTTACAGTAGTATATCAAGAGCATTGCAATATGAATTTATACAGAATTTACACAGTCAGTTTTACCTTCAGATTAAATAGAAGAAAATAAATTCACAGTAAACTTTTTTAAAGTTTTCCTTTCCTCCTTCACCAGTCTCATGGTAGGTACTCCAATTATGTAGCAATGGATTTATTCCAAGTATTTATGTTACTTTTTATAGCAAGTTCCTCCCAAAGCAACATAGCAGATAAAATGAAGATAAGATATATTGGGCAGGTCAGGTAGATGAACAGTGAAACATCAATTCAATATATGATAAGCCTGTTGCTACAGCACACAGTCATTAATTTTTACAAGAAAATGTAACAAAAGGTAAGATTTAAGTTTGAGATCTACACTGAAGAGTCCAAGGAAATTTAGGTGAAAGTTGTTGTTGTTTTTTTAGGCTAACTATTTTCACAGGCAGGCAAGAGAACAGGACTTCCTAAGCATATCTCTCCCAGGTTCTTAGTGTGGATATTGGACAATAGGGAGGAAAAGTTGCTCACATTTATTTGAAACCTGAAAAAAAGAGAGAAACATGGAGTTATAGATGAACATATGTATATGAGAATATTCCTGTCTGCAGTTAAAATAATTACTTACAGGTAAGTAATTACATACAGTATTTTTATTAATTTATTTTTCTACTTTCTTTTTTTACCTTATTTACAAGTCAGATCTCGACATGCCATTCAAGAGTTGTACATCCCTAGATTAAGAGCGAGGTCAGGCTTGTAAAGGTGATTCCAAAGGTAGACATAAACATAGAATAACAGAGTTGGGAGGGACTTTGGAGGTCTTCTAGTCCAACCACCTGCTCAAGCAGGAGATCCTATACCATTTCAGACAAATGGCTTCTTAAAAGCCTTTAATGATGGACCATCCATAACTTCTGAAGGCAAGCCATTCCTCTAGTTAATTGTTCTCACCATTAGGAAATTTCTAGGATCTTATTAACAACCAAAATTTGCATTGGGCCCAAAGACACAGGTACCAGCTTACTTTCTGCAAGACTCATGTTACACTTACACAGTTTGTGGCTCTCGTTATTAGCACTAGGTGGCATCATTTTTGACATACACTATAATTGGCACATAACCAACAAATAACTGTCTCAAGATCAGATGGGATGCAAATGTCTATGGACTTGATTTGAAAGAGACAACTTTGATACATGGCAATTGACTACAGTTTGGCAGCAGTGGTATATCCAGGACCACACACAAATAATATGAGTCCTTCAAGAGATCATTTTTCCTATGGGACTATTTTTTTACTGTTATTTTGCCCAACAAGTGAGATCAGGATTAATTGGTGTGCTTCAAGTCCCAGATGAAAACAGTGCCATCTTGGGAAACCTGGGAGACATGCCTTCTCTGTAGCTGCACCTGTCCTGTGGAACAGTGGTCCTCTAGAGATCCGCATGACCCGAAATCTTTAGACTTCTGGCTCTTCTAACAGGCCTGGGAGAGGTTGCAGCAATAATCTCTCTGATGATGACTGGTGGGGGGTATATTTGTTTAATTACTTTTCTGTGATACTCATGGTTGTTATCAACAATATTTTACAGCTGACTTGGTCCTTTTATTATTATTTTTTTAATTTGATGTTTTAATCCTATACTGTAACATGACTAGAGACACTTCATGACTGAGGGCCCATATTGATAAACAAACACATAAATTGGAACCTCAACTGTACATATGTATTAATATGTGCACCCATATTGCTTAAAACCTACAAACCACATCAGGTGCTCATTAATCTCAAACCCTTATTTGCGAGAGCCATGGTGAAGTACTGTACCATATCTACTTCAAGGGTTAGAAAGTCTGTCATTTGACTTCCAGCAGAGGGCTCCAATGCCCCAGCAAAAGGGCTGAAGCTGGCAATCTTTGTTGGGGGGGGGGGAGTATGGCTATTTTTCAAAGCTAATAATTAACTGAGTGCATGTGCAGCTAAGGAAAGTCACCCCATCCCACTCAAAACCATTAACTTGATCTCTCTGGTGGTGGGGTTTTTTTTGTTTGTTTTTTTAAAGTAGGAGATATGGTGGTTGTCTTTTGTGTGCATCACAGTAGAAAGTCCAAGGCAGGCTGAGTTTAATTTAACTGCCGGTTCTGAATGTTGTTTTTCTTCTCTCCTCATTTTTAAGAAGCACTTAGCCAGATGGTCTGTTTTTCTTTTTCTTTCTTTCTTTTCTTTTACTTTTTTTAAAATGCATTGTGCGTTGGTTGGATATGTGTTTGGAGGAGCTGCCAATTTCATAAAAAGGAAGAAAGAGCAAGAGAAAGCACCATTTGGTGTCTATCCTTGGTATCTGGCCAGAGAGCTAAGACACTGTTCTAAGAAAGGAAGAATCTTAGAAATAAAATAATTCAATTCTGGAGAAATTTTTGTAGGAATATGCAAACTGTTGGATTCATAGAGACCTCCCCATATGTGGGATCAGAAATAGTGACATGGATGTTACTAACTGCTCTACTTCTTCCCACAAAACCCAAGCATTCTGAATGCCACCATAAAGCAAGAGATACCCCATTATATTAATATTTGAGGGGAAAAGGTTTTCTTTCCCTAAGCCAAGCCAGTGCAGTTGAGAAGGTGACTTTTTTTTTTGCCTCTGCATATGGGCTGCAAAAATACATAGATGATGACAATGAGTGACAGATTTCTGAACTTTTTTTACAGCCATCCAATAGTCTCCTGGATTTATGCAGCTCAGATACGGTAGCCCAAAGACCACACTTGGCATTAGAATAAGCCCTTGGTTTAGTGGACCTTGGATGCAATGGACAAAATCTCATTTATAAATGAGATAAAATGCATACAAGATGAATGTATAAAATCCTATTTCAGATTTATAGGACGTTCAGATGTAATACATTACCTTCTCCCATTAATTAATTAAACCGAGGACTAATATTTTTTCCCATTATAAAGCCCACTATGTCATGTTGAGAAATCCCAGCAAATGTTTCTCCAAAGGTAGTTTGGAGGTTTGCTGGTTGCTGGTTTTCATCCTCCTGTGCCACCTACATTATGAAAAACTCAGGGTATTTTCATACAGTTGTAGCATTACCCCCTCAGAGGCCGCCAAAGCCCAGGCCCTCCCAGCCCTGCTCCCCTCCATCGTGTTCTGCAGCTGTGCTCTTAAGTTGTTAGTAAAGTGTCTTTTCTAGCAGAAGCTCACGTGAAGTGAGGAAGTGGCAGACTCTCATCATCAAAGGGGGGGCTTTTAGGAACAAAGATGACCAGCCCCTAGCCCCGATAGTCAATGCGTGATGGTGTTTAACAGCCCCAGGCAGTCAGAGCAGCAATAGATAATGATTTCACAGCGACCATTTGGAAACAAGTGGGGTGGGGAAAACCCCGGCTCCAGGCAGAGATAGGAACACAAACAAAGGTAATCAGCATCCTGCAATAACAGCTCGTCCCGCAAGGGCAACTCCCCACAATGTCTATAGCTTGCACAAGTAACAATAATCAAAGTTCAGATGGCTGCTAGTCTCCAAAGCAGTAACGACCAGCCTCTCCTTCTCTTTTGTCGTCGCTCGCAGTCTCAGGTCTCGTCGGTGTCAAAACCCCTCCCCCCTTTCCTTTATTGTTAAAATCTGAATTTAGCAACCCCAGCAACTTTCTCTCTCCTCACTCTCTCTCTCTTGCCTCCACTCAGGATATCCCTCCTGCGAAGAAAGCAGTAAAATTCCACCTTCTCACTCTCTCTCACTCTCTCCTTCCCTCTCCTTCCCAGAAAGAGATCAGCTAAAACCTCAAATCCCTCTTCGACTTCACCTGGTCTCTCTCTGACAAAAGCAACAGCAACTACCCCCACCCCCTTTCTTTCCTCCTTTTTCTTTCCTTCTGCCCGATCCACACCCGCCGTGCCCAAAACTGGCAGCAGCTGTCCAAGCTTTCCTCTTCCTGGGCAGGCTCCTTCAAAGCCTTTTGGCTAGTCCCACTACACAGTAATGTTTTTTGTTTCAGCACAGAGGAACAATCTTTTTTTAAAAAAACTATAAAACACTATTTGGAAAAGCAGTGAGTTAATGATGTAAGCATTTTTTTAAAAAAAAATATTTCAGCTTAATTTCAGCTCCTAAGCCTTAGGAATAAAGTTCTTTCCTAGATAAGGCATTTGGATTGGAGCACAATCAGTTTTTGAAAGCAAAGTATTGTTCTAAAGCAGCGGCCCCCCAATCTTTTGGGCACCAGGGACTGGTTCTATGGAGAGAGATTTTTCTGCGGACCGGAGAAGGTGTGGTTTCGCATGCTGCCTACATCCTGCAAATGGAACTTTCCCTGTTTATGCGGCCCAGTTTCTGGCATGCTACAGCCCAGTGCCAGTCCACAGACCAGGGGTTGGGGACCCTGTTCTAAAGAACATGAGAATTTAAGCAGGTTTTTTTTTTAATTATTTTGGATAAGAAAAGAGTTTAATTTCAGCTCTGAAGGGATTCTTAGAATCAAATGCTGTTTTGAATCAGCAAATCAGCCCTGTGCTTCACTCCTCTAAGCTATTCTGAAAATAAAAGTAAATAATCTTGTTGGCCCTAGCAACCATGAGGCCCACCCAAAGCCTCTTCTGCTCATCCTGTCCCTAGACCACATTGTACTCTCTGCCAAGTCTTGTCCAGCAGCTTCTGAGATACAGCATAGTATTTTCCATTCCTCTCCTCTGAAACCACAAGGTCCTCACCGTGTGTACACTGGGAAAACAGTGCAGCACGTCCAGCCATTTGGGAGAGCACACTTTAGAGTACTGCAACTCCCAGAAGTTGGCAGATGCATTTCAAGGTCCTGTGCCAGACTGTTACTTAGGAACGTCCCTCTCTGCTTTATCTCTTCACTATTGGGTAATAAGCAGCCCAAAAGTAACAAACTATTTGAATTTCCCGTTGTAATGGTTGGGTCCCAGCCCAACCCAGCTCCAACCTTGGTATACTGTATGTTCACACAATATACCAAGTCATAAACCTGGTTTTTCTCTTCTTCTTAACGTCCTCTTTTACCACTTCATGTAATGAGTTGTTATCTATAAAAAACAATCATCTTCACAAGATTTGCCATATTTGCTCCTTTTGATTTGTTAAAGCTGTTCAGACAGAGTATAGATCAATGATGGCGAATTCTGGGAGTTGAAGTCCATGAGTCATAAAAGAACCAAGGTTGCCTACCCCTGGTCTATAGCCACATATCATATGGCTTCCTCAGATGACCTATAGATATTAATTCTACCCACCCATCATGGGTAGAATTAGGAAAAGATAGAGAAAGTATGGATTAGATTGCCAGCTTTAGTTCTACCTTCTCACCTGCACCATTCCCTGCTAACAAAAAAGGCAGAACTAGTCAATTAGACTTGTCTTAGGCCAACATCTCACAAATGTAACCAAAGTCCAATTTTATTCCAAGCATGGTTACCCTAAAACACCAGAAGGCAATACAAGAAGCAATGGGTGGAAACTAAACAAGGAGAGAAGCAATCTAGAACTAAGGAGAAACTTCCTAACAGGGAGGACAATTAACCAGTGGAACAGCTTGCCTTCAGACATTGTGGGTGCTCCATCACTGGAGGCTTTTAAGAACAGATTGGACAGCCACCTGTCTGAAATGGTATAGAGTCTCCTGTTTCATCAGGGGGTTGGACTAGAAGACCTCCAAAGTCCCTTCCAAATCTGTTATTCTGTTCTGTTAGGTAAACTATGAAATTTAATCTAAAGCACACAATGCATACTCATAATATATTTTTTCTTGCCCAAGAGTCACAAGTAGCAAGAATTTGAAAATGCTGTCCCAAGCCACAGACAAAATAGTGCTGGAATTGTCAAAGATGAAGTTAGAAGGTCATGTAGCCATTTTCAGGGGAAGCGTACATTCATTAAGTCATCTATTTAAACTATTTATATATCCCTCTGCATTAAAATAAAATACAACAAGATAACAACAAAGAAAAAATGCACTGTATAAAAGTAGAACATATATGCATTTGCCACAATTCTCTATTCCGTACAATAAATCAATGATGTTTTCTTCTTTGTTCACTCTAAGGGCTTCTCATAAAAAATTTAAAACGAAAGAAAAATAACCAAAATGGTTACATGGTTATATTAGGCTCCACAGCAGAAAAGGGCAGATTGTTTTCTCCATTAAGAAAACTAGTCTCTTGTTCTTAGTGAAGAACTTAAGGCAGAGAGCAGTGGAACAATTGACATCTGAAATAATATTAGATTTTTATGTGAGTTCAGACCTGGAAAATATTTCAATGGCATTTGAAATATGAATTTCAGGGAGATGTGTTGGTCTGTTTGGGAGACTCAGCTCATGATGAACTTTAAGATAATTGTAATAAAGCTTTCCAGAGGCAACTTCGATGTCAGGTTTTTCTTCTACCATAAACAGATGTTTGAATGATTAATGAAGAAAGAGACTGAGGTTTATGTCAGTGTTTCAAGGTATTTGTGTCAGATAAGAGCCATCCTTGGGTTTACCCCCTTAGGAGCTGCAGCTATATATATAGATTTGATTCATATTGAACAATTTGCCCCCTGGTTAGAAATCTCTTTAGCAATAATGACCCACACTACACAAAAGGCTTAAAAACATTTCCTTCCCTGTAAAACCATATTACTTCCACTGACAATTGGTCTGAATTTCTGAAGATCAAAGGGGAAAAGCTAGTATTCCAAGCACAATCTTAGTATACTCCACTTTGAATGAAGTATACTAAGCTCTCTTGATTTTCTGACATAATTTTGGGGAACCAGGAAATCAGCGATATAGCAACAACTATGTACATGGATTAGATTATGAATTACAGATTGGACAAGTCTTAGTCACTCTTTTTGCTTGAAGAGGGGTGTACGCCTTGCCTCAAATTATTCTTGAGTTAATTTATAAGTAGCAGGTTATAATGGAACATGTAGCTAGGGACCTATATTACTTTGACTGATCAACGACACCAGATTATTTATTTTTCTTCTTGTGCAGTCCTACAGCAAGGTGTTCTTTCTGATTACAAAAAACAGTATTCGGTTTGTATGGCCTTTCTTTTGTTTTCTATAATGTGACTAATGGAATTCTCAGGGTTAGTCCTAACATACCAAAAGAATAACATAATGGGAAATGCAGATCTAGATATACTTCCTAAAGTTGCCAAAGGATTGTTTCTTATTGTCTAACACTCTGCACAGCTTGTTTCTTTCTGCTTTTGATGGTGGCAGAGTAAATCAGGATTATCCATAATGAACATATCTGGGGTGTAAACCTCTTGGTTATGGAGAATACTGTTGGCAATAATTGAAGAAAGAGACCTTCTTTTCTCTATATCTGTAACTCTATGCAAAGAAGCTAATGAAATAAGATGTTCTTCTCATTTGATAATATTGTGGGTTTCCTGACAGATTTATACAGCTTTTGTAGTAATAAACCATCGACAAGTTCCTTACAGTTCCTTGAACTTCCCATTGGCCTACAGATTTCAGTGTCCTTTGGAAAGGACAAGAGTTTGTCCAACTCTTTAGGTTGGGAAGTGGCATCATGAGATGGACTAGATTAGAGTTAACACAGCCGGTTCCTGGGAAGGAGGGGACATATTCCAAGAAGTTGGCAGGCAAGACAAGATAACAACAGAGTCCAGAGCTGGATCATGGGAAGAGGAAGACATTTTGGATAGGCACGACCTAGAATCTCCCAGGGTATATCCAATAGGTCAGTCTAGTATAGGTAGTCCTCGACTGATGACCACAATTGAGCCCAAAATTTCTGTTGTTTAGCGAGACATTTTTTAAGTGGGGTTTGGCCCATTTTATGAGCTTTCTTGCTACAGTTGTTAAGTGAATCACTGCAGTTGTTAAATTAGTAACTAGGTTATTAAGCGAAACTGGCTTCCCTGTTGCCTTTGCTTGACAGAAGGTCGCAAAAGGTCGCAAAAGCCCAGGACACTGCAATTGTCATGAACATGAGTCAGTTGCTAAGCGTCCGAATTTTGATCACATGACCATGGGGGATGCTGCAATGGTCATAAGTGTGAAAAAAGATCATAAGTCACTTTTTACTGTGCTGATGTAACTTCAAGCAGTCATCAAATGAACTGTTGTAAATTGAGGACTACCTGTATAGGTTTAATCTGGCAAGATTCTATATGGTGTAAGCAAATAAAGAACTGAACTTTTGTTGGATTGTTAACATCGTTCTTGGGCTAGGCCTGATATCTGCACTGTATGTGCTATATCTGTTAAGGCTAATTTTTAATTCCAGCAGATTAAACTGAAAGGTTTAACCCATGCTACGAACTTCATGGCTGAATCAGGATCTGAACCCAGCTTTCATTATTTCTATACCATGACTCTTAACTATTGCATTACACTGGCCTTGTGTTCATGTACTGTTACCACATTAAGGCATAGAAGATAATGGTTAGGAAGCTGGATTAGAAATCATGAGCCAGATTAAAGAAAAAAATGGCTCAGAAATGATGTTGATATACATACAGCAGATTTAAGTATAATAAAATAATGAATTACATGATATGGAAATCATGGTAGTAAGATTTTGAATTCATCTGGGTGACCATTCGGCATCTCTTCCAGCTCTGGAATTTGTAACAACATCCTGGAAAATTGAAGAGAAAATTAATCCTAGAAAGAAAGACAATGACAAACATATGATGAAAATAAGGATATTTTTATATCAATAAATGTCGGAATAGTTAAAGCAATTGTTTTCTGGTGATAATGTAAGTCTTGAAAAGAGAGGCATAAAGAAGAAAGATATCTTTGAATTAAGGATTTGGATACAAAAAAGAAAAAAATTAAGAAGAACCAATCAATCATTCCTGAGTAAAATAAAGACGGATGTTCCTTTGAGGCAGTGATTAGATAGCAGAAACTAATATACTTTGGACATATGATATAGATGGATATTGTTCCAGGAAAATAACTATGCTTGGATGAGAGAAGCAAAAGAATGGGAAAGCAATGGACAAGGTGAGCAGACAAGATCAGAAATATCACTGCTGTGTTCTTGGAGATATGGATTGTCAAGATAAAAAGCATTTATTTATATAGGCATTAGGAGAGGGCCAGAGTGGATGGCACCCAACTGATTATTATTGGCTGGGTATATTTCTGTGAGCTAATTCTTAAAATCATAGAATTGGAAAGAGTAGTTTAGGCCATCAGTTGCATTCCTCTGCTCAGAGCAATGTCTAAATTAAAGCATGTTGAAAACAGGTTGTTGAATCTCTGCTTGTAACTATCCACCAATTGAAAATCTAAATCTCTTTAGATCTTTGACTCTATTTTCCAAACGTTCTTATCATTTTGAAATTTTTATAACACTAGCAAAAATTGCTTTCCTAGAATGTGAGACAATTTGTATTCTGTGATGATAGAGAACATGTCTGTTTTTGTGTGACAACTGTCAGATACTAAAAAAAAATTAAGAAGAATCAATCATTCCTGGATGAAATAAAGTTGGAATGTACCTTTGAGGCAATGATTAGATAGTAGAAACTAACGTAGATATTTTACACCATCATATTTTTTTAAGACTAAACATACCTACTTATTTCAACTTCTGTTCATAGCTCTTCATTTCCAATCTTCTGATGATCCTTGTTGGACCTATTTCAACTGAATCATTTTAAGATGTTACTAGGTGAATACTGGTACATTCTGACTAGCAAAGAATAGTACGAAATACTTATTTCAGATAATATGGAAAAATAGATATTAACTGCTGCAGAGTAAAATTGCATTTTTATTTTTATTTATGGCAGCTTGCTTATTTACTTGGGAAATTGAAATGAACTCTTGTTGGGAATTATAGAAAAAGTTCATGCACAAAGCTCTCGTGCTCACTTTTTACTGAGCAGTCTTTGATAACAGACAATTAATAGCACAAAAAAAAATACAAGCACCTGGCCAATATTTCCATTGTTCTGGTATATTTAGCCAACCACTCATCTTTTCTCTCTCTTTTTAATATTTCACCTTAACAATGTGGTTACAGGTGGAGGGTTGTTTTTTTCCTTGCCAACATTACAGGTGACTCCCTCAGCTTCTTATTTGCTGCCAGGAACATAACCACACCTGTTTGGCAGTGAATAGGGAGCCTGTTACATCCTGAAGGCACAAAACGGATCAAGTGCACAATGATGGTTTAAGTAAATAAAATTTAAAAGGGAACATCTCAAACACAACGTGACAAGCTTTATGTTTTCTGTACTCAAGAAAAAGGCTTGATGTGATCCCAAATAACTCCCTTCCTCCCCCCCCCCAGCAGTATTTTCTCTGTTGGAACAGGTCATTTCATGTTCTGAAAAACTATCAATTATTTATTGCTCAGTTCAAAAAATCATTGGTTTTTACACTGATAGATTGTGACTTTCACATGGTCTAATTTATGGTATAACTTCTTTCTTTTTATTCTTTCCTACTTTTATTCATAATTCTAAAGAAACTGAATTTTCACAGCATGTTAAGCAAATTTTTAACCATCCTTTATTGAACACAAAACTGGATGGGTTTATACAATATATTAAGCTCTAAATGATGCCTTATCATGATGATTTCATGATGACTATATTTAGTAAGCCAAAAACCAATCAAACTACACTGTGGTTTAATGTGTCGTATGAATCAGGACAGATTAAGAGTAAGAAATGGGGAAACAATTTGGGTATGTACTACATACTTACCCATGGTTAAATGAACTATGGTTCATTCGGCCCAGTTTTCCAGGTTTCCCATGAGACACACTGAACCATGAAGTAAAGCACATTAGCATGCTTTACGTCATCCATTTAGTTAATGGAGCCTGAGTAGTTTGTAGTTTAGCATGTGTAAGAACATAGTAAAATATTAAATGTGAAACCTGTTATGAAGATTAGCCAGGTTAAGCAAATCCAGCCAACTACAATTTGACTTAAATATTTGTATGACTTCATTCCAATGGGGTATAAAAAATGGGACATTTAGACCAGTCTTAATGTAAACTGTTGAGGGGATTCCAATATTTACAAAGAATACTAACCATACACTAAAATAAAAGATTTAATATATGAGGTGTCACGGTATTAACCAATTCAGTGAATGGCTGTATCTCACTGGAATTCCAGTCTCAAAGGGATCTTGGCAGAGACCATAAATGTCTGTTCCTCATTCCAGACCAACAAGAAAAACAAGTCTCCAGAGCTTTGGGAAGAAGAAAGATTACCATCTGAATCTATTTCTTGGCTACTGAAATGAAGTCACACTTATTAACTAGCCCTTTGTCATGCATTAAGAAGTATTACCTGCTAGCATAAACAATGTGATAGAAACTGTAGGGCAGTGGTTCTCAACCTGTGGGTCGGGACCCCATTTGGGGTCAAATGACCATTTCACGGGGGTCGCCAAATAACGCAGTCCGCCATTTTTTTCCCCTTTTCCTTAGCTGTGCTACTACCTTTTATTCTATTGGCTTTTGAAAGCCAATAGAATAGACTCTCTTGACTAGAGTCTAATTCTATTGGCTTTCGAAAGCCAATAGGAATTGTCCAGGCTGTCTCTGCCCTGCTGAGCCCACCAAAAGTCCCATTCTGCAAATGATGCTGCACCAGTTGAGTAGTCTTCAACTTACGACCGGTTGAGTAGTCCTCGACTTATGACCGGTTAGGGGTCGCGGCATTAAAAAGGTTGAGAACCACTGCTGTAGGGTAAAGATTTACCAGAAGAAATCCTTCTGGCCAACCTACAATCCATTAGACTTAGAAGAAGAAAGATCTAATCAGATCTAATGTACAAAAGGGGATAAATTCAGACAGGTTCAATCTCAACATTTCCTAACATGCCTCTACTTTTGCTTCTATGAACAGAGTGTTCTTTAATGTTGATATCTGGACTTGTAACACATACACAAGCCTAGAAGGAGAACGGCCATCTAAAGTTTTTGTCATCCATGGTGGTGCTTGGGACTGCCTTGGGAATGGAGCTTGGTAGTAACAGGCATGTCCTGATACCAAGTTTGATGCAAAACATGTCTATTCTCTTGAAGGGTACAGCTTTAAACATAAGATAACCAAAATGGGGAAAATATTTCTTCTTGTTTTTTTGGCAACTAGCCTGAAGCACAAATAAAATAAAACCTCTTCTAGGTCAGTTTTGTTTTCCCCTCTGGTCACTTGGCAATCTAAGCTGGATAATATCAAGAGGAATTAAGCCCACATTTGCTCGTTACAGTAATCCCTTTAAAATCTAGCTTTATTTTGGGCATCTATGGAAGAGTTTCTCCTTCTTTTCATAATCTAATATAGTTGGAACAGGATTCAAACAGAAATCTAAACGCTGCCATGTTATTTGTGTCTCATGGTATACTTCCCTGTATGACTGATGTTACCTGGCTATTCCTGAATATTACTGATGCACATTTAGTGTTTTTCTATAAAATGGTTATATTCTACATACTATAATGTCTAATCAGAAAACCAGACATGAAAGTAAAAAGGCTGGCTTTTTTTAAATCTTAAAAGGTATTATTTTATTAATAATTCTTTTCTTACGCCATGATTATTAGGGAGCACATTACTGAGATTTCTATCTGTGTTACATTTCCAACTATTCTTCAGACTTGTGGCAGATCCAGACTACCTGATCTTCTCAATGCTGCACAACACAGACTTTGTGTCTGTGTGTGGGTGTGTACATGTGTATGTGTTTACAGTAACATTGTTACAGTGGAATAGCTATTTGATTACCATTAGTGAACATCTGCACACACCAGTGTGCTTTTTTCAAATGGTTGCTGATACAGGGAGTGGAACTGCTATGTTAAGATTTTCACATTCAAGTCCATCCTTTTTTTCTGTTCATTTTATATAGTAGCAGTGGCCTGCTACTATATGGAACAGAACTGTACCTTTAAATTACTTGAACAAAAATATGGGGAAATGTTCTTGGTTACTCTAATCAATTTAGATATATTGATTTATATATATATTTAGAAAATTGCAATAGAAAAATATTCCTATTTTCCTAGCAAATAGGAATATTTTTCTATTGCAATTTTTTTTTAAAGGAAAGAGAAAAAGAAAACTCGGCTGCCTGTAAAATGTGCTCAGTTTTAAAAGTATTTCCAGAGATTTGCTTTGCATCACTATGGTATTTGATTCCGACTTGTCTTTTTTGGGGGGGGGAAGGAAGTGAGTCAATTTCTTTCTTAGTCTGCTCAAATTGCAACTAAGCTGGTATTTTCTTTTGAATCACTGCACTTCTATACACCCTGTGGCCAGCTCATGTTCACACTAGCCACAATGATATACAAATGATGGCATGCTATTGGTGACATCATGACATAGTTACTTGAATCCCAACATCTGATGCAAGTTCTAAGTTGGGGTCTTTGCATCATGACACATGTTTTGTTGCTTGCCAACTTTCCTCACTGCAAATGCCTAAGTATTTCATCTTATTTCCTAAGCTCAAACCCATCATCACTCCCTCCCTGACCCCAAAATTAAAGTTCGATTGGAGAAATTTCTGTTGATCCTTTCTTGAGATGTAAAAGAGTTTAATTCCACTGAAATACTTGCTTTATATTCCTATCAGTTAAAATGTAATCCTAATATTTAAATCCTATTTCAGCCTTTGCTCCAAATGAAGTAAAAAAGGTCTAGTGGTTGGGCTGTCTCATTATCCTTAATGATCCCTCTTCTTTTCTAATATTCTGGGAAGGCTATTCTTTATACAATGGAACTAGATTTGAAAAGGACTATCCTGAATGGTGATACAAGATATATAACAGATAGAAACAAGGCACAACATGTAAAATCAAACCAGAGGGGCCTCCAAGAATCCTCTCAAATTGTCTTTGAGTGAGGTGTCATGTTACTCCAGAACTTAGTTTTACTGCCATCTATTTGTTTTTATGCCATATAAAACCGTATTAACTAGCTCTTATTATGCATTTGTTCTTGGCCTTATTAACGTGCATTCAGCATGTCAAGCTGACATATTTGTTGCACTGATAACTGCAGAACATTCAATGACCTGGAACATTATTATTAATTCTTATATTAAATTTTTATGTGTGGGAAAATAATTACTATGTCCCATTGTATTTACTGTAAAACAGCCTCCTGCTATAGCATTTATTACTTGATAATAAATGATAATAAAAGATCCTTGTCAGTTCCCTCCCTTCCATCCAGGACATAGCACATAAGCGTTGCTTGAGCAGGGTCTGCAAGATTGTCTGGGGCACTATACCTCCTCTTCACGACCTGTTTTCCTTATTACTTTCTGGGAGGAGGCTCTGTGGTATCTGAAGCAGAACACCCAGATTCAGTCACAGCTTTTTCCCATACAGTATTAACCTTGTGAACTCTAAAGCTTCCTCCTTCCGTTATGTATTCAAGATGGACAGTGATTAATATTTATATGTTACTTATATGTAAGGGTGTAGGTCTATACATATGTTGTATACAGCATGTTTTAAATGTGTGTTATGTATGTGTACACTTTGAGAGGAAGCAACTAAATTTCATTTTTAATGTGTGCCATTGTGCCCACAGGAAAAAAATGACAATAAAGGTAATCTAATGTATTCTAATGTAATCTACAAGCAGAATGAAAAATACCCTGATTTACCTACT